ATCCGTAGTCATTGGTGTTATATATAGACCACCTAATTTGAGTAGGAACGATGGTAAATTGCTATGGGAGGAAATAAAGAAGGCATCTGATAGAAACAATGTATGTATTCTAGGCGATTTCAACTTTTCAGGCATAGATTGGAAAAATCAACTTAGCGATAATGAATCTGAAGATTTTCTAGAAGTAGTACAAGATAGTTTTTTATATCAATTCATAAACTCGCCCACTAGAGGAAATAATATCCTCGATTTAGTTCTCAGTAATAATGAAAATCTAGTAAAAGATGTTGGGATTGGAGACGAACTAGGAAACAGTGATCATAAAGCCATATATTTTAACATAATATGGGATGGCAGGAAGAAGGAAAATTCGGCCTTGATCCCGGATTTTAGGAAGGCTAATTACGGTAGCTTAAGGAGAGACCTAAGGGATGACCCTATGGTCAAAAGATTAATCCCCCCCACACCTCCGGAAACTGTCAACTTAGGACGGGATAACCCCGAATTTAATTTAGCAGCTACTTATGAACAATTTATTGCGACAATCAATAATGCCCAAAATAAACACATCCCTAAAAGAAAATTCAGATCGATACGGAACCAACCAAAATGGATGAATAATAGACTCTTAGATCTTCTAGGGAAAAAGAAAGGAGTATATAGAAAAGTTAAGAAAGGCGAAAATCACTTACTTGGTTACTATCAGAACCTAACAAGACAGGTAAAAACAGAAATTAGGAAAGCAAAGAGAAATTATGAAATCAAGGTAGCAAACGAATCGAAAAATAACCCCAAAGCTTTTTATCAACTGTATAAATCAAAGGTTAGAGATACAATAGGTCCCCTTAAAACTACGACAGGAGAAATGACTGATGATGAGTTAGAAATGTGTAGTACGTTAAATAGTCATTTTCGCTCTGTATTCACAAATGAAAACCTAGCACAGTTTCCAGAAGTTCATAAGGTATATAACGACAGTATAGAAAATATGTTGATGAATATCAATATTACTAGTAACGATGTGCTTAAAGTAATTAACAAACTGAAGCCTCATAAATCGCCTGGTCCAGACGAGGTATATGCTAGAATATTAAAAGAATGTAGAGATGAGTTGAGTAATCCATTAGCAGTTTTATTTAATAAGTCATTAGAATCGGGCCTAGTGCCAGAAGCTTGGAAACTTGCAAATGTAGTTCCGATTTTCAAAAGGGTGATAAATCAATAGCATCAAATTACCGTCCCATTAGTCTCACGTCAATCATAGGCAAGTTGCTAGAGTCAATTATTGCTACAAAATCAGAAGCCACCTTGAAACATTCAACTTAATTCATTCTTCTCAGCACGGGTTCACCAGGGACGTTCTTGTCTCACAAATTTGCTTAGCTTTTTCTCAGAAGTATATGAAGCGGTAGATAATGATAAGTCATATGATATAATTTATTTAGATTTCAGTAAAGCATTCGATAGAGTCCTCATGAGAGAGATTGGAAGGTAGAAGCACATGGAATAGGTGGATCAGTATTAAAATGGATTAGGTCATGGTTAACTGGTAGGAAACAAAGAGTCAGCATAAATGGATTAAAGTCAGACTGGGGTGCGGTCAAAAGCGGAGTTCCCAGGGATCTGTATTAGGCCTCTGCTGTTTGTTATATCATTAATGATCTTGATTTAGGCATAACTAGTAGGATTAGTAAATTTGCAGATGATACCAAAATGGGGAGAGTGATAAATTCAGACAGTGACTTTGAACACCTTCAAAGAGATCTAGATACCTTACATGAGTGGTCAGTAGACTGGCAAATGAATTTTAATACTGATAAATGCAAGGTACTACAGATAGGAAGACGAATACAAACGTTAAGTATAAACTAGGTAACACGGAAATAGAAAACTCAGTTTGTGAAAAAGATCTAGGTGTATTTGTTAGCAACGACTTGAAACCTAGAAAACAATGTATTAGCGTTCGCAACAAGGCAAACAGGATTCTTGGGTTCATATCTAGGGTCTGTGAGTAACAGAACTGCTGACGTTATCTTGAAACTTACCTAGCATTAGTGAGGCACACATGGATTATGCGGTTCAGTTCTGGTGTCCTTATTATAGAATGGACATAGATTCTTTGGAGAGAGTACAAAGAAGAATGACAAAAATGATCCATAATATTAGAAACCTTCCATATGAAGAAAGACTGAAAAGCTTAGGCTTACATTCATTAGAGAGGCGTAGAGTTAGGGAGATATGATAGAGGTGTACAAGTGGGTAAGTGGGATTAACAAGGGTAAAATGGAAGATGTTCTGAAGCTCAGTAATAACGAAATAACTAGAACAAATGGCTTTAAATTAGATAAATTCCGATTCAGAAAGGATATAGGCAAGCACTGGTTTGGTAATAGAGTTGTGGATATGTGGAATAGGCTACCGAGTGCTATAGTAGGATCGGGGACGCTAGGGAGCTTCAAGACGAAGTTGGATAGGCACATGGAAGTGCTGGGATGGGTGTGAAAGGGATCTGCCCTGTATGGGCCAGTCGGCCTCCTGCAGTATCCCACTTTCTTATGTTCTTATGTATACGGGTATCTGCGTGTTTGTCATTTGGGACCCCATCCCAACCCACTTTTATATTCATTATATTTTTCCTGTATAAAATAATATTACTACGAATGTTCAAATAATATTTTCTCTGATCGTAAACAATTAATTGTATGGCACAAATATGGTACTGGTCCCTGGCACACTGGGAAGACTTGTTACGTCAATGATGATTGGCCTTAGAATGAATAAGACATCATGTCTTCATGTTTAGTACAGATAGTCTCAAAATGCCCCTGAAATAGGACATATCTCAAAAGATTTTCCTGGGGGGGGGGGGCTATAGGCCCCGGGATTGGCTCGCTTCGCTCGCCGGTCCGTGGCACATTGAAAAAAAACCATGCCGGTCCGCCACATCAGATAGTTTGAGAAGCGCTGATCTAGAACACAATGGTTGAACACAACATCACCCCTCAAGCTTCAGATCGATATAGTACTTCACACATTGAGGTCAGGTAACTTGCAAAACCCAAGCACAAGCTCAATCTTTATTTTCGACTCTACAGCCAGGGATCCGACCGCTGCCTTCAACACCCTGTTGCATACCGTGATAAGGGTATGAGGTCAGGGATATTGTCTAGCCAGGGCTCCTTGTCCATAACCTAACCTAACTAGAACCAACGTCATTGTCCGCTGCTGGGAACCGTATTAAGAAATACTAAGAAAAGAATGAAACATATCATTAAATTCAAGAAAATCATGTTAAGCAAATCAATTACTGGAATCGCTTGTATTTAAATGTGGATGAATAGCAATTCATTGGGAAATCGTTAAAACATTAAATAGTTGTGTTGAAATAATCATGAGCGAGCTTGTTGGTGAGCGAGTCTTTTCACGGTCTACAGTCTACTTTCACCCGGTAAACTAGCCTACAGTTGTAACTACAGGGTTGTTTGTTTTTAACCTAACCTAACCTAACTTAACCGAACCTAATCAATTTTACTGTTCGACCCAGCACACGTGTGAGCGTGCCTCCTTTACCTGTCCTTGAGGCGTGTCAAGTCCCTTCCTAACCTAACCTGACTCAAGGTTAGGTTTGGTTAGGACGTTAGGTTAGGTTAGGTATGCAGTAGATATCGTCTATAAAAACAATGCTGTATACAACTGTAGGCTATTTTACCAGAGGACCTGGCTCAATAGCCCTTGAGCTATTTTACCGTCCGACCCGGCAGTTATATGCACATACATCTACAGTTGAATGAAATGACTGTAGTAGACTCCAGACTATTCTAATAATGATAATGGAAAATGCAGTAATTATACGCCATAAAGAGGAGTCAGCATCTACAACATAAATTTTATCCCAAAACCAACAGGTTAGCAATGGTGTAATTAATAGCTATATTTTACTCATATATAATAAATAAAATAAGCGAGAAAATATTTAGTTACATTATGGAATCTCTCAACACAGTAAAGCAGGAAACAGGTGGTGGCAAGAGTAAGCTGATAGGACCACTATTGTCATCGTTACCCAAATATTATCAACAATTGTAAAAATACTGAGATATTATCAATCCACTCATCTGCATTGGGTATACTTATTTATAGTATATTACGCATTTGTTAAATAAGGAGCAGTTTATCCTAAATACTTTACTTCAAGTGAAACTTAAATTTGCTACAGATAAATGAAGTACAGTACTATAGACCTCCTTAAGTTTTACTAAATGTCAAAATGAATCGAAGAAATTAATTTTCGCATTTACCAATTAAAACTTTATTCGCTAGCAAGACACAATAGTGAATTAATTGTATTTAGCAGGCACCACCATGCTCAGCAGGAGCGAGCTGCCAGGTCTGAATTATAGGTTGTTACACACACGCGCAAAATTCTACACTTGTTGTGGTGATGCATACTGCTTTTTAAATACAGTTAATGAATGCGGTGTACGAGTGCTCGTGGCCACGGTGCCACATCCACACCAACAAAATCTAGTAGATTGCTTAATTCATCTGAATACAACATTGTCTGATTTAATATTTTCATGGGAGAAAAATATGTATCAAATATTAAGAATTTATCGTAGAAAGAGTGTAGAAACATACATAAGTGGCAGAGAAGATCAACTGAACACTGCATAGGGTGAGAGACTGTACAGTGTACATGTGCCGTTGTGGCAAGGAGTGAGTGCTTCATGTAGCCACACACGAGGGTTGAGCTCCGTCCGCCCCGCGCCGCCTAAGCCACGCGTCCTTTCTCACCTCTCTGCCAAACCCATGAGAAAACAAACCCATACTCTTCTTTACATAATAATTAAAAGATAAACTGTACATATTGAGAATATTACCAAAATACGTGGAAAGAGACTGTTGGCGATAATAATATTGCGGATGAATTAGTGGTAAACGTGTGTTTCGCGAGGTACGATATGTTGGGCAACGAGGGAGGAGGCCACATTCCCTGGGCCGCGTGTGAGCTGTGAAGGTGAGATTGGTCCATGTAAACCTTCTGCGCTTGTGTAAGGAGCACGCATAAATGTGTATCCCGGGAGAGATCCTGGTATAGTTCTTTTAGTGAGCTTCTTCGGTGAACACACATATTCAAGGACTACCATCGTGAGATACTTAGTGTGTGATTCTGTGACAAGAAAATATCAGTAGTGGACTATGTTCTGGATTGAGCTGTGCTGAGAACAACACATTGACCCGCTTGGAAAAAGAATTTCGCTGTTCATAATATTCATCATTGGTTAGTATCGGCCTTATCGGGTGTTATTGATATTAATGTGCCATGGTTATGGGAATGTAGCGGTGCGTACTTGAAAAATGTGTTTATACGTATGTGGATATTCTTTACTTTCAAGAAGCGCATGAAGCCTTCATTCAAATGGTTAATCGTTATCGCTCTGTTTGATGATGCAAGAGCATTTTTATATTAATAAATAATTTAAGGTGACGAAGAATCAATCACTAATAAGACGAAATTTCGATGGATTACAAGATGAGTGTGCGGCAGCTGCAATATATCATATAATCGGCATGGAAGAGTACCCTGGCACACTTGAGTTTACGCGGTTGTACTGAGTCAAATGATGGAAGCCTGTGTGTCCTATTGGTTCCACTTTGGGCATGAATGTACCTTGAATCATAAGACTCCCGCTTTGCCAGGAAGTTTTATTTACCTCGCACGTATCGGACATAACTTGCTGTAAAGGTTGATCGCTACATGTTCATAATTATGTGGGGTCCATCATATACCTCGTCTCACGGTTTTTCAAACGTTTCTACATTAGAATTATCACATAAGTAAGATTATCTCCAACAGGCTGACACGAGTTATAAGACAATTAAACTTCCCGAATGTTAACATGGTAATAATTGGGGAAATCTTGGATCAAGATACAGTATCTCTTGAATTCTCCAATGGTTACAGGAGAAAGGTAGAATCGTATAAATTTGGAACCAACCTTGTTTCCGCGTCTTAAAGAGATTCATCCAATGAGATCAAGTGAGACTATAATTTATCTTTCATAACGAAACTAACTTAATTAAACTAGAGATTAACCTAAACGTGAATGTATGATTTTAGTTTGGTACATTTTATGTATAAGATTTTGCATAGTGCAGCAGTATGATACTTCGGAAGTTCCCAGTCTCCCTGAATATCAATAAAGGCGCAAGTGATAATACGTCCTATAAATGTAAGATTACAGCTTTAATGAAACGAAAAAATCATAAGATACAATATACGTAACTTAAGAAAGGTAAACAGTATCCCCTAATATATGCGATTGTAGTTAGTATTCAAGGTATGCTCAGTGCAGCAGTGTGTATATTAAAGTAATTTTAAAGTATAAATAATCGCCGCTCTTGAATTTAAATTATTAATATGAATTTAAAATGACTAAACATTTCCCAGTTTGAAGTCTTGTGTGTAAAGTAGATTGGTCGACTATGTAGTTTTCATTAGTACGAATATCGTAAATGGATGCAAGATAAATAACATTTGTATCTTATGTAATGATTTGTGAACTAATTGTTTAATATATACGGTACATACATGTACCTGGTATATTATGAGCATTGTGAACAATAAACTATGTAACAAATGGACTGAAATGAACATGTGTTTATTTTGATATGAATGTTTGTACGGCGTCTCACAATGAACGTTTCTCTCACAGACAGTTAATATGGCGATGATCCCACCCAGCGCCAGTGGCGGACCATACCAGACGGCTTCCGTCGTGATGGATGTGGATCCGAATTACCATCACCTTCCCCACCACCACCCAGACCCCAACCATCAGCTGGCCCCACAGCCCCTGCAGCAGCCACAGTACCCACCCATGCTCCAGGCCCAGCCTATCTCGTTAGAGAAGCAACAGGGCCCATCGGAACAGATGATGGTTGGGACAGAACCACCATACCAGTGCAAAATCTGCGGCAAGGGCTTCGCTATCCCGGCCAGGTTAGCACGCCATCATCGTGTCCACACTGGAGAAAAACCCTTCAAGTGAGTAGTTTCTCCTTAACACAGTAGAAACTTCGTTTGGTTTTGCTGTTGCATCATTATGTTATTGTCGGTAATGTGTTGAAGTTGTCTGGGGGCTAGGTCAGTGGTGCTCAACCATTTTTGCAAGAAGGCCCAACATAATGTCTCGGTACTTGTGGAAGAGGGGAGCATCTTTGTCTGACTGGTGTTAAGTGAAGCAAATGAAAAATTGTCACGAAAACACAACGTTAAAAGTTAACGAAAACGGTATCATGGATGGAATGATGGCGTGCATTTTGGAGCCTTGTTTTATTTTTTTTTTGGGGGGGGGGGTTGTATAGAAATTACTTGAGCATCTCTGTGCTAGGTGATAGTCACTGGTATGTATGGATGTAAGAAAATAAGGAGTGTAGCTTGTCTGACTGACTGGACCAGATACTTGTCATCACGACTGCATGTTATGGTTGCTTCCGATAACTTAAATAACCGAACGGCATACTCCCGGATTATACCTAGAAAAAAATATTAAAAAAGCCTCGGGGGTACTGGGTCTCTTAACAAATTTCAAGTTGGTTTATCCCAATGCACTAATGTTATTAAGGGATTATCAAATTTCTTGCATATTTAACAGTTAAAAGCATAAGAAGTGTTAATGATTTAAAGAATTATGAAGGGCGAATGTGTGATTCTGTCCTTAGCATACTTGAGAGTTGCTGGACTGACCTATTAAACATAGAGATTAAATTCAAGCTGTGAGGACTGGTTAATGATAAGTAAAAGGCTTGGGGTAGACAAAGATGAGAGTGTATTGGTACGGCATGTGAATAGGCGTTCTAGAAGAATGCACCGGCTAGACAGTTTAGTTGTGACAACATATCTTTGAATTGAATGGAGACGGTTTATTTAGCCAGACAAACACTGATAAGAGTGGATAATAATAACAGTATTAACATGGCTGAGCCAGTTGAGAACCTGAGCTCTCCTGTAGGCACCTGATATATACTATACATTTATCTCAAGGAAGTATTATGTAGCATTTTGTATCATCTGAAATAGTACAATAGCATGGTGGTATTAAGAACATCTCATAATGTTACCACGGTTTTCACTTCAATATCTTAAGCAATACATAGGGCCCAGGTGGAGTTTTGGTTGAAAGGGAGGAATTTAACACTCTACTCATTAGCTGAAAGTATGCCTTCAGCTCCTGTGGAGTGTGTTACTGTTTAAATAATAAAACAAATTGCAGAATTATTTATATAATTTTTTTCCTCAACAGATGTGAATTTTGCGAGAAGACATTCAGTGTGAAGGAGAACCTGAACGTACACCGTCGCATCCACACCAAAGAACGCCCATACAAGTGCAACATATGTGATAGGTCCTTCGAGCACTCTGGCAAGTTACACCGGCACATGCGAACCCACACTGGCGAACGACCACATAAATGCGAGGTAAGGTGCCACAATCCAAATTTCACTGATTTTGTTTGTAGATTTATTTTACATAACTCAAGACCAAAGGTACAGTGAGTTTATGTGGACTTAGTTCCGTGTGCAGAATTTGATCTTAGTAGTGTTCAAAATATACAAGTGCTGACAATAAGTATTTTATATGATAAACTCAATATAGTTCTTTGGACAATTGCAACCAAATATTGAATGGATAATCAAAGCATGTTCGGTGTTATCAGAATGCAAAGATTGTTCTAATTAAATGAAAGGCAGTCACTCATGAAAGTGGCAGTGTGAGCAGATCAATGTTAGATGTATTTCGGCATTACACAAATTGTACTCTTTAACGATCGATGTGACTCGAGTGACTTTCAAACTCTCCACAAAACATTGCCTACCCGTGGGACTTCCGCTAATCTAAAATTATGAAGAATGAACACAAATCTTGTTAAACATGCAGATTTAGACACCCAGTACTGTACGTTCAAAATTGATATTTAACACTTCAATACTGTATAGTATATTTGAATTTTTTAGTTGTATGGCATAGTACACATTCAACCTTCATTTTAAGCTGTATGGCACATTTAAAGTCAATTTTCAGTTTTTTTTATCGTTTTCAAACAATTGTTCTTTGACACACACACACATTATATATATATATATATATATATATATATATATATATATATATATATATATATATATATATATATATATATATATATATATATATATATATATATATATATATTAAAAAGGATTTCCTTGTTGATACACGTCTGAAAATGGAATGTAGATACTGTACAGTCAGGGTCAAAAGTCAGCACACCCACGACAGTTTCACTGTTTCATGTGAACTTTTGAACCTGGCTGTACATGAATTTGCTGAAAATCCCTTATGGATGGTGCTCATAAATGAATGGTTTTAATACGTGTAAAATTTTACTGTAGCTTGTTGTGGATGGCTGTTAAATGCATGTTGTGGATGGTTGTTGAATACATGTGGAATCTGAGGATTATTTGTTGATTGCATGTTGTGGATTATGATATCCTGTATTACATGTTTTTTATGTTCACCTTAATGAAATGAAAAATGTATTGCATCAGATCCCATAGAGTAACAGTTACCAGCACTGATTTATCAAAGATAAGCTCTTATGGGTACCAGGTCTTGTTATCTCAGGATATCAATGTCTAACAAATCCGTTTCTACCCATAATAGAAGACTTGTACAAGAGTCAGTGATTTGTAGAAAGTGAACTAACTGTTAACTGTCAAAGAAAAACGACTTGTTTCATGGAATGTTTCTTGGTTGCAGGTTTGTGGCAAGACTTTCGTGCAGTCCGGTCAACTGGTAATCCATATGAGGGCCCACACTGGTGAGAAGCCCTACACTTGTGAGTACTGCCAGAAAGGCTTCACATGCTCCAAGCAGCTGAAGGTACACATCCGCACACACACTGGGGAAAAACCTTATGAATGTGACGTATGTGGCAAGACCTTTGGTTACAACCACGTTTTAAAGATGCATAAAATGTCTCATTTGGGAGAGAAGCTGTACAAGTGTACTCTGTGTGAGGAATTCTTCAACTCGCGCAAGACTCTTGACCGCCACATTCGCGATCATGGCAATGCAGAGCGACCCTCACGCAAGCAACAGCCAGCACCACTGCAAGACATACCCTGGAAACCTTCACCTTTGTCAGCTGCTTCAGATGTGTTAGAAGGCAGGGATTCCAACAATTCCAACTCTCCCCCCACAAATTCCTCTCCCGCATCTGTGTCTTGGGACAGTGATTCTATGGATCAACAGCTGCCATTTCGTGAGTTGCGACGGGCCTCTGAAGGGCCCAGCGCCACCGGTGCAGAAGTTTTCACCTGCTATGGAAGCAACAGCGTCGGGTCTCGATCTCCTGGATACATCAGTGATGACAGCGGTCGAGGCGCTAGCCCCGTCAGTGACACTCTCTCCCCACCTCGATCTCCAGTCACTTCTGGATCTTCTTTAACTCCACCACACATAATGGATGCGCCGCCTGTTAGACACCAACAGTTACCACTGGGTGGCCCTTCCATGGACTACAACATGCTGCTGCACCGCCTCTATCCAGACCTGGTAGTGCCTAAACCAGAGTCTTCCCAGCCCACTGACACCCAGCGTATGGCCGTCTTCACCACAGAGTCTGGGGAGCGCCTTACCTGTCCTTATGAACTCCTGCTGTGTCTCCAAAGGAAAAAAGAACAAAGTTACATGGACGAACACAATATTGCTTATGAACAAGAAGCGCTTCGTCGTCGTCAGCAGCAACTGGAGGTACACCTACTGAGGGAGGAGACACGGCGCAAGCGTGAACGTTCTTTCATCAGTACTGTACAGAGGGTGTTGGAAGCTCTTATTGGCAGCGAGCGACTGGCACATTTAGGCCACCCACACACCTCTGTAGACGAGGTTCTCATGCGAACACTCAATTTGATGGGTTCTCAGCCATGCAAGGAGCCCTCGCTCTCTCCCATGGACCGTGTCAAGGTTAACCTTAGACTACTACTCGAGTGTAGTGTGCCCGACCAGGACATGTGGATTAAGTTTGGCTGGCGGGGCAAACCCATCGATGACATAGTATCTGAATTCCTCAATTTCTGTTAGTACATATCATCTGTACTGTCAACATGACAGTTGTTCACCTCGTATGAGAAGACGAGTATCTCGCCTCCTTTTCAGGGATGATGAATTGACCACAACTTTTAAGCTAGTATGGAAATTTGTTCACCTAGTTTGATCAAAAAGAAAGCAGTGCGACTTCTCGATACTGAGGGAGGCAATTTGGTCACCTCAAAAATGGATGGAGAGTACAATTTTGACATATGAAAGGAAATTTGCCCAGTGTCATATTTTCATGATGCGGAGGGATTCTTTCCTCTTATGAAGAAGTGTATACAACTTCCTGGCGTGGAGGGAAATTACGCCCGGTCGTCCTATGGTGGTGCCCGGGGAGTTTCCGATCTCAGGGCCTCTACTGGCCTCTTGTTTTTGCTCAGTATTTTCACGGCGTCTCGAGAATGTGAGGCGCTGTCCTAACCTTATGATATCACTCTAGTCGTTTCATCAATGTTTCGCTAAGGTTCATTTTGTACATTCCATATTGTGTTATTTGAAGCACAAACCGTGTTGAAATGTCCTAATGTAAATAAGTGAATGAAATATATATTTTAAATGTACTGTTTAATAAAGTCAACGGATGATGTAGGTATTTCTATGACCTGTTTACCCAATTATGAACACTTTAAAAAATTTCATTACTTTCAAAATCTGCATGTAAACCATACGATAATGGCCTAAGTTCTTTTTAATGGATTTAGAGGCTTGCTGTTTAATATCCTGTAACTATAAACTGCAGACTAGCTCCTCTCGAACGTAAACAACAAAACATCAATACTACAGTACAGGGAAGTGCTTCATGACATAGTATAGGCGAAGTCTTGCTCAGAGCCAGATTGAGATAGTTTGGGCACGGGGAGAATGGGTGAGACCAATTGGGTCAAGAGGAGCCGAGTATCGTCCTCATATGAGGTTGCGACTACAGTCCCCCATTCTAAACGTGGGCTGTAAAATAATTTTACCAATATAAAATTTGGTACCTCTGGAGACCATTTTTAATTCATCTATCCATGCCTTTCCTGGCCCTCCTACTCTCAACTTTCCCTCATCCCCAATTATATGACCAAAGTATATAATTTTTCCCTTTTTGTACATTTATAGTATTTCTCTTGAAATTTTTACTTATCTGTTTTCCTGTCAGTGGAGTTTAATCTTAGTATTCGCCAATAAAACACATTTCAAAGGCCTCCAATCTCTTTCTGGTGTCTGCTTTAAGTCTCCTTGTCATATAGAGCCTTTCAGCAGCCTTGTTCTCAAATTAAAGTTAATGCCCCATTTCATTAGGTCTTGGATTATTAAAGATCCTTTAAAAATATAATATCTCCTTTATTATTACATATTTTTCCAAGAGCTTTACAAGTTTAATGTGTTTTACCAAAAGCTTTTTCAAAGTCAGCAAAGCATATATTCAAATTTCTTTGGACCTCCAAAGGCCCGTCCACACGATCGAGTACGCGCTAAATGCCTGTTATCGGGCAAAATTGGCGGGCAAACCAGCGAAATGCCCGTGCCTGTCGTTGAGCGAAATCATGGTCCGCCTGCCTGGTGGTTTGCTGCCGGATATGGAGCGACGATTCTGCCAGACAAACGATAAAACCAGAAAACCAACATTCCTATAATATTGTCATTAATATTCAACATTACACAAGCCTGCAATACAAGACACGTGTTATTATTGGAACCTCACGTGACTCAAAAACAGCTGATCACTACGCCACCGCTGACCTCGGGGGTCGGGGTCCTCAAGTCGGTGAGGTAAGAGCAGAAATACTGACAACGTATGCTAGCACTTTGTAAAACCCGAGTTAAGTACTGCAAATGTGATACGTATATGTTCCCCGCTCGGTCCAGATGTCCAGTGTATAACCAAATAAGCTTATGCAATGTACATTATTGGCGTGACAATAAACGGGAGATTGGTTATGTATTATGTAATGACGACATTCGTGTGTTCTTCGTTCCTGCCGCTCTCCTCACTCTAGTCCCATAGCTTCCTGTCTATGCATATCATAATTCTAACATTATTCAATGAATTTTTATGTACTATAAATCTCACCTGTAAGTAATCTTCCTTGAGTACTTCACACATGGCTTGACAATTTGCAGGTATTATGCGAGACAAACTTTGTTTTGATATCCTCGTTCTATACTAAAGTGACGTGTAGGTGCACCCAGTTGAAAGATATATGAGCGTTGCCTCCAGACGAGCCTCTGCAGATATACTCTCCCTCATATTGTATCCTGTTTTTAATATATGGTTCCACTTTCGCTAGAAGTTTGTAAAAGGTGTTGGGGTCCATTCTCATGTAATTGGTGAAGTCTTGCTCATGTCCATCTTGCAGTTCACGTAAAATCGTGGCATGACTTCCATATACATTTCTTCGACCTAACCACTCTTTGCACCATTTCCCTTTTCTGCATTTGGTTCTTCTTTTTGCACATAGCAGCAATTATTATAGTACACAACGCTATGCTCTTCGCTTTAACCGTCCGGCGATTATTCCTGCGACACACCATGGTGATCGTACCGCACCCACCACTGCTGACCACCTACTAGCTACCGGCGCCCGACTATGACTGCCGCCAACCACCTCTGTGTGTACAACAACACACAGTCTTTGGTAAACTTGCAAAGCCTACCGGGCACTGCTTGATCGTGTGGACGGGGCTTTAAGAACCTTCACTTAAAATTCTCAAATCAAAAATGCTTCTCTAGTTCCTTTTCCCTTTCTTAATCCATTTTGCTCTTCAGATAATTCGCTTTCTATTCTAAACCTTATTCTGCTGAAAATTAAGTTTAATAAAACTTTGCAGGCATAACTTATTAAGCTTGTTCTAAACTGTGCATTCTAAGGCTTTTGGCTTTTTAGGTAATACTGTAATACAAATGTTGATGTTTTTAAAATCATTGGGAAGGTCTCCGTTGAAGTATATCCCTTCCCCCCCCCCCCTTTTTTTTAATTCTGCTGGAAGCTGACCTACGCCACAGGCTTAAAAATTTTCATTTTGCTCACAGCTGCCCCAGCTGCTCTTTCGAAATTTGGCATTTCGATCTCTATTTCCTTTTCGTTTCGTACCTCTACTCAACCTTATCACTGTATTGTTTTTCTACGGACTCTGCCTACCTCTCTTTTACATCTGCCTCAAACAGTATTTTATTGTCTTAGCTTTTAATAATCCCACTCCATTTATTTCTTTTTATCTGGTTCATTTGTTTAATTCTTTCTGTACATTTCCCTATAATTATGCCATCTGTCCTCATCAATGCCCTTGCATTTCCTTTCCCGATCATCTTTCTTGCGTGTCTGCATTGCTTTTGAATTTTTGTAGTACTGTATTTTTTACGTAAGCTTCACTTCGTTTTCCCTTATTTCTTCGTCTATCCATTTTCTTAAAATTTTCATTTGTTATCTACTTACTTTTAGTTTCGTTCATCTCGTATTTTAAGTTTTCCCCAGTCTCTAACATTACTATTAAATTGTTGTACTGGTCCTTGTTCATCATGGTTTTTCTGTTTAATTTTTAAAGTTTTAACCTCACTAAACTCATAACTGGGACGTGATCTGACCCACAATCTGCCCCTGGATAGATCTTGGTTTACGTTATTGAATTTCAGAATCTTTTTCTGAATTAAAATGTAATTTATTTGATTCTTGACAATGTTGCTTACATTGTCCCGGGGTGAGACCAATGTTTAGATATGCATAGGGTGTTGTTCAAAACACGTATTAGCAATTGGTATCTTGTTTTCTTGACTAAAGTCAATATTTCTCCTCTCGCATTTCTATTACCCAACCCATGTGGCCTACTTCTGGTGCTACTTTTCCTTTCCAAACTATTGCATTAAAATCACCCAATATAATCAGACATTCATTATACTTTACGGTGTCTTTTGCTTTCTTTAAATCTTCATAAAATTTTTCAAAGACTTCATCCTCACTATCATTTGCTGGTGCATAAACCAAAACCATTGGTTTAGCATTAAACTTGACTACTAAAACTCGGACACAGCCCAATATCCCTTTACACTACTACACAATAGGAACATTAGCCTAAATGTGGAGGGGAGGGGAGCCAAGGGAAGGCCAAGAATGATATGGTAAGAAATGACATACCAGTTAAAACCTGACAAAATAGACTGCAAAAGACCGTTGCAGGCTTACAGCGTGGATAGATTGTCTTCAGGTAACCGCGGCTAACCCGTAAAGCGATGGTAAGTAATGGATGTACACACATTGCATAATCATATCTGCTATGAAACATGAGAAATGTCTGGCTTGGCATGGAATAGGCCAGCCACTTCTGAAAATACCTATTGTCACTCCCAACCCAAATTTCAGACTATACTGTACCCGAAATGACAAGTACCCCATTGAAATTGTAATCACTTAAAGATTGGGCATCCCAGTTTATTTCAACGCAACATTAATCACACTATCCTATACCTGTCCCCATCGGGTGAAATTAGCTGGGGTGCTTAATATTCACCTAATCCTAAAATTGTAATTAAGAACATAGCCCAGGCATAATCTATGGAAATATTATTATTTCTATAACGCTTGTATATGCACGATATGTACAGTTTATCACTTAGCGTTGCCAATCCTCTCTCTCTGAGGTGTGAACCCTGTGTCATGGTCACGTTGACTGCTAGTCTGTTTTATAACTGAGGATTCTTATTATACTCCACGACCGCAAAGCATGAACGGGTAGCTGGTTAGCTATCCCCTAGAAAGAGATGTGCTTTTCCCATTCGATGTTTACAGTCAGGATCCCTCTCTAAGTCCCGCCTTGTGAAGACGGTTGTCAATACGTTTTTGTTCCACTTTCTACTGACAAGCTCAATCTTGAATTAGTTTATGTAAATCAACTCAACTAATTAACCAGACCTTTGTCAACTGAGGGTCATCCTTGAATGAGTAACAGTTGGTTTGTTTGTGATTTCTGTCATTGCGTGAGTAGCGATCGCTGGCAACACAGGGGTATATAACCACTGGAAAGAGGGAGAGAGCGTCCTCTGTGACGCCCTCTCCAACTTTGTTCCCAGGTATGTAGATGTGTTTCCACCGTTGTAGCCATTCAGATTGATTCAGTCATTGTAGTGAATTATCAGTGTTCATGCTTTCACAGTGGAATTGTCATTCACCCAGTGTAAGAAGTAATGTAAAATAAATGTCGTCTGACGTTGCGAGATGAAGGATTTGTTGTGATTGTGTTGTCCATGCATCCCTCCGTGACCCCCTCTCCAACTTTATTCCCAGATCCAGGGTGGGATTGTTTGAGCATTCACCGTCCCGGAGCCAGTGGATGTCTAGCGTGATCGATGTGTGGCCTGTGTACGTGATTCGACATGATTGAGACGGCGGGTCCGCCTCGTGGGCCTCAGACCCCAGACTCGCCATGTGTCTGGCTTCCGCCGACCACGGCAGCAATCGTCAGTTGTTGCAGGCGCCTGTGTGTACCCTGGGACGTGCCTTGGAGTTGTGTGGCCCACAGTGTTGTTGTATATGTTTGGGGATAATTAGCTGGAAGTAATTATCCCATGTTGGGTTTCAGTGTTGGCGTGTATGTTGTGAGGGCATGT